AAAAGCACTTATTCTTGTTAGTAGGGAGAATTTTACTGTAGATTTCAATTGTTTAAATTAGATTTTTCACCAAGACTAAGAAAAGTTCTTTAAAAAGTGTACATATTGACAGGCATAAAATGTTTCTAAATATTTGTCTAGTGTCTCAACTATAAACTGAATTCGGTTCTGATTAAATCTACATTTGCTTTGATAACTATCGGTAAAGTATTTAAGGAAGAGTTCAACTAACAGCGTAATATTTTCCTAACGCAAAATTTAAATAAAATCTCAAGATAAATTTGTAAACATCATTAATATCTATCATTAATAGTGGTAATTTAAAACTGAATAACTTAGTCTGGAATGAAAAGAAATTCTTACGTATGACAAAAGTAAAACTAGCCAATTTGTCGATCAAATATTTTTATTAAAACATTTTACAATTACAGATAGTTCAAACTGCATCTAGGCATTACATGTTTCTTTCATTTACAAATTAGTTTTAAACAATATCTTCCTTATTTTGCATGGAGCTCTAACATTTACAATAGAATGTTTTTAGCAACATTTCACATTAAACTTGCACTTTGTTTACACAACGAAATATTAACATGGATTTCTTGGTGTACTTGGATTTCATGGTGTACAATAAGCTATCTAACGGCAACTTTGATACAATGCAAGAGTCATGAATATTTACTATCTATTGAAAATTCTCCTTGTAAAAATATGTATCAGAACCTGAATGCATTAAAATTTAATTCTCAATTTTGTCACTTTAAATAGTGTCTAAAAAAACGTCAAAAAAAGAGTTTTTTAAAGATTTCATTTTAAAATTGAAGAGTCTCTTGCACCTGAAACTTAATTTCCGAAACATTTAAGTTATATTTTGAAAATGTAATTTTTCAAACTAATTTATATGAAAGGCAGATTTGCACATTTAGTTTCCCTCTAGATTAAATTTTAGCCTGCAATTTTACATAAAATTGGCACTACCTTTTACTTTCAATTCAAGTTATAGGGCTGTAAGAAATTTAAACGTTTAATTTATAACTTTCAGAAGAGGGCAGTTAAAAAAGTAATTTTTTAAAAAATTAGCTACATCTTATTCTAAGAACGTATTTTTTCACCTGCTGGTGTATATTAAAATCCTAAAGATTTACTACTACTTAGTGTTGAGCAAAAAATAGATAATGTTTGATTTTTTAAAACACGATCAGTATAGAGTCTACCGGGGAACTCTTTCGTTCGAAAATTCATTGTTGTATCCAATTTATTCTGTTAAGAGTCAAAGCTGCACGAGTACATATCAAAAATGAATAACTAGTTTCAAGTTCTTAAAGCAAGACTCTGCCGTTGAAAGATTTCCACACAGCACAAGGATACTGATCCACTACAGAAGGGCACATGTGTGAATCGAGAAGTTCCGAAACGGCTGGACGAGTGTGAAACATGACGAGAAAGCAGAACGGCCGACTACCACTTCCACGTCATTATCCACACTAGTCTAGAACATTCCGAAGATTCCGATTCACACTTGCACACTCATGTAGCAGATCGATATCCTCAAATTGTGTACATCTGCTATATTATCGACTATAAATGCGGTAGTACTGACTGTTTTTCAATCACAGTCTATTAATATATACGTGCTATCAGGTTTAAATTTGGTTCTCGACAACTATAAAATGATACAGTTGCAATTTCGATGTAGTATCTCACAATTTACTTAATCGACAATTTAACTTAATCCAGCTCAAAATTGTTAGCGATTCCAAAATTAGTATTATATGACCCCGAATTAGAGTTATCTAGAACATTTTATTGAATTTATATTTGCATAGAAGATTTCTCGCCCGTTTTAACAATGATCCGCTTAGGATAGAACTCAAATCAACGAATTTGTAGATTTAAAAAAAAATTCCTGGAATTTGCAAATCTGCTTTTCATATAATACAAGTTTACATACATACAAGTTTTAATAGTTCAACAAGCCTATTGTTATCTATGTCATTAATTCTTAAGCTTAAACGCAATCGCAACATACTATGAGAATCGAAAAATTTAAAATTTTAGTGTTAGATTTAAAACGGAACACATTAAGATAGCATGTTTATACTTTACCTCGTGGATTGTTTCGGCTTCTGTTCAAATAGTAGATTCAATTTTCTATCAGAAATTTTGCCTTCTCTGACCAATAACCTATATTTGTAGCACTTTTACACGGGATCGGTATATTTAAAAGAAATAGTTCAGTTTAAAAATATGCGTTCGAGCACTCTTTAAACACTCATTTGAGTGGAAATCTATATATTTACTTTACGTAGCACCAAAATCAGATTTGAAAATCTTAAATGGGTAGCATTTAATTTACACGTGAATACGTTGAATTATTTTTTTTTTCAAAACACGTAAACTATTACAAATACTAAATACCTGTCTCATTTTACTAGATACATATACAAGTTGAAAGATTTAATTTCCTTAAAATATTTTAAAATTGTATTAAATTAATTTTAATTTAATAGGACGAATAAATTTGGTTGTAATAATTACTAAGTTACAACATTCACAACTCAAATAGTTTTAAATTTTCGATTACATTTAGAGACTTTCGATGTAATATTAAGTTCACGTTTCAATTTTGTCATCAAACTTAAATTTAATCTTAGTTTTGAAGTAAATTCTATAATTTGATTTAGACCTTGAAGGGCGATTGAATTCATGTACCTATTTTCGAAACTATCAAATTATTAAAACAATTATTTTTCAGATTATGGAATATTCTGTAATAATTAATATGTGTACGAACCTCTTTCAACGCCAAAAACTAAAGCTCGACCACTTATGCTTTGAAAAATTTTTTTTCTAGTACCCACTTTTCTAGTTTTAGATTAGCTTTATGTCAAGTTAAGGATCCAGCATAGTTACATAAAGTTCCCCATATCGTAATGCCTAGAAGCTGTTATGCGTTATTCTTTTTAATAGCTATACAAGTTTTAAAGCTCGCCAAGTACTTTCCAGGGTGTTTGAAACCTGGGTCGAAAAAGAGATTAATGCTGTGGATGTACGGCTCTATATGTGAAACGTTAACTCAATCGATGCATACTTAGTCGAAAACAATTTTCAATGAAACTAGTTTAATATACAAGAAAGAACGTTTTTGAAGTCTACCCGTATTACAGCGCAATATTACAGCGCAAAGATATCAGTCACAATAGTTAGCTGGACAGTCTAATGTGTTTGGAATTTGTTTTAGTTTATACAAAGTCAGAAATCAATTTTGATCTTTTATAGTTATTAAAATAGATGCATGTTTTTAAAAATGTGTGTGTATCTTTAATGCACCTGTTACAAAATTTTTATTTTATCCGAATTAGAAATTTCAAAATTCGAACAAAGCTGAATTTCAGTATTTCCAAAATATTTCTAAATGTTTTTTCCACGTTATTTTCACTAAACTTGGAAAAATAACTGAAAATGATCGAAACTGCATAATTTTAATTAAAAATTTTTACTATCTCATAATTTATAAAAATCTAATATAATTTTAAAATATAAATTTTAAGTATACTCTAAATAAAATAGCTTATACCGCGTAACTATGCCCCATTGTTTAAACTTATTTAGCCGCCGAGTCAATGAATTGATGTTAGCTTATGGTTAAAATATATGTTATAGTTAGTCTCATGTTAGTAGTTAGCCAGATGATGAATGAATAATATGAATGCATAACGAAATTCCTTTAACATGAATTGCTTTAAATTTGCTCATCCAGGAATATTTACATTTAAAAAGGGAAAATTCAAAAATTTTCCAAACTTACTTTTTGAAACTATGGCTGAATAGTGTGTCACAGATTCTTTTAAAATTTTTAAAATATCCTTTTATCACGTGCTATGCTTACAGCCAGTTTCGCAGAACTAAACGAGCCGAATCATCCACAATAAATATTATTCGGTGTTGAAATTTTTAGTTGAACGTATACTTTTAAGCACTGAATATATATATCAAAACTGCTTTGAATATTTAAGAGGTGAGATTAAGCAAATTGAGGCATATCCATTTAAAGATTTTCGTTATGCAAATAGACTCGGCAGAGAAATAAGATTAAAAAACAAGACTAGTTTTGTAGAAGCCCATTTATTAATGTATCAAATATATTTTATAAAGAAATATAATTTTCCTTTATCTTAAGAAAATAAACTGACAAATTGAAATATTTTATTTACCAAACTTCTAACTAATCTAACATTTTCAGAGCATACGAATGTGTATAATTAGTACTAACTACAAATAATAGTTTCTTTTATGCCAAAGCGTGTTAAAAGCTACCAGTTTTATTTTGAGCGACAAAATTAGAACATTTCTTGAGCAAATCTCTATCGCGTTCCGCTGCGCTAACTTAATTACTAGACAGTCTTGATTTTTCATTAATTTTCTTTTAATAGTTTCGTTCTCAAACTTTATATATAATGCGCATTAATTCTTTTAAAATTTAGACTAAATACGTAGAATTGTTATTGCGATAGATAACTACATAAATGATAGACAAATTGTAAATTTAGATTTGTTTAGTGAAATTTACCTTAATACAGTTACGTAAATAAAAACCTAATGTGTAAAGTGCTAACTATGCAACATTGTTTTCCATCAAAGCTAACTAAGATTAGGACAAAAGTAAAATTTTAAAAATGCGATGTTATGACGCTACAGCGAGTCGCTAGCATGAAGGGTTTTAAACAACTTACGTGATAGGTACACAAACCGATAGATCAGGAATAGTAAGATAAGATTTCTATTTCGAACAGTACGGGTTACCTTAAATACGTTAACTGGTATTTAATATGTATTTTACTGATGAGGGGAGATTAATTCATAACTATCATACCGTGTGATTTATTAAGGTAACACTGAATTTGCGATATTGTATGTTGGTTTTCCGTCATTCAAATATCTCGTTACCGCAAAGAGTTTTGACATTTTATAACGTTGATTTAATAAATACCGGTTTTTACCTGCGAGCTGTAATTTTTTTTAAAGATTAAAACAAGTTTAAGAGTTAGTTAATTTTAATAGCTTACAAATTTGAGATCAGATTTTGTCTATTCGATATAAATTCCTCAAATTTTTTACAAACAAGTTTTGCTTAAACTTCAGATTAAGTGTATTTTAATGGTAGATTTTAAAATTAACCCACATTTACTTAAACAGATTCTGAAATATGAAAGTAACGTATGATGTATTTGGTGGAAAAGGAATATTTAAAAATTTGTAGTACCAAAATAAAATCAGATGTAAAGTTTTATTCATCTAAATATGTTTAGTCTGAGAATCGAACGAAAGTATTTTAATTTTTAATAATTCTCTGAAGTTAATGATTTGAATTTAAACTGGCACACTAAAACAATTATTTTGAATAATACAAATTTTAGATTTTAGTTAGTGTACTGGACAATAGTCTGAAGGAAAAAAAACAAATAAATCGGAATTAGTTCTTTTGCGCCAAGGTTTAATTTTCTTAAATATTATGCCATAGCTGATAGCGAGGAATGGCTAACAATAAGCTTGTATTAAAAATGCTAAGACTATTAACAGTGCGTATATATAATACATAGCTGATAGATTAGAGAAGGTGCTGCCAAATTTCAGAGACTTTAAATTTAATTTAAGATATTTAATGGGTAAATACGACTCAAAAAAGTTTATGAATAATAATTTTTAGATATGATAAATAGAGAAGGGTATGTTTAGATAAATAAGACTTAAATATTCTTTACGATTAATAAAAATATTTGAAATAAACTTTTATACGATGTACACTTAAATTGCATTTATATTATGAAAATGGATTTAGATTTAATTAAAAATATTTTCTTGCTTAATTCTTATCAGAGAAAATATTTAAATTTTAAATAACCAAAATGCCGAAAATGGAATTTTCATACTATTCAAGGAGAATGTAAAAATAAACCTCCTGTTCTGTTATGTCAACCAGGCAACTGAAGTAGGTCATCTTAGCAGACTACGATCATGGTAACTAGGTCAGTGATGGGGATCTTGGCAGACAACAGGCCTCATGGTAACCAGGTCAGTGATGGAGATCTTGGTAGACAACAGGCCTCATGGTAACCAGGTCAGTGATGGAGATTTTGGAAGACTACGATCCTCATGGCAATTAGATCAGCAATGCAAAGCCTAGTGTTAAAAAGAATACAAAATGTCTTTATTCTTATGGTCAAATTAACATAATTTCACTCTTGTCAGAGGCAGTGTTTGATATTGAGTCTAGTAAAGTTTTATAAATATTAGTTATGCAAATATCTCAGTCAACCCCTTTGTAGGTATGTCCTTTAAATGCATATCCAGAATTTGCATTTTACAAAATTCATAAATCTTATAAAGGAGATTATATTAATCCGAACATTTAATTCCTGCAGGTAGGATCTCTGAGCAGCTATGTGTGTATTTTTCAAAAGGCTGGAGTAACACAGAAATCTATATTAATAAATGCAGACGAAGTTTAAACGAAAACTTATTGGCGTTGTCGAAATTTCAGTTACGCAAAACTTTAACTAACCACGGAATTAAGAGATTTATCTTTAGACCGTGAGGGAACATTAGTCTGATATTCGTGAAAGTTCTTATTTTAGAACTCTGTGCCAAATGACTAAATTTATTAGCCTCCTGATCAGTAGGAGATTTTATCAACAGAAGTTAAACATCTCCAACCAAGAAACTAAATTAAACATAAGTTTTAGATATGGCGAAAGTTACATAGGACGCAATACTAATGTTATGAAGTTTTGTCCAAACAAGTTCAGCTTTTCAGTGAGACAAAAATTTTGTAAGCTTTAAAACCAATTAAAAGCAGTGGTGGCCCCCGAGCGTTCGCCTCCCAATGATGCTACCTAAGCATAGACTGGTAGATACAAATTCTGCTCTTCGCTAGCACCGACCGCAGTGCTGACGTAAAATAACCTATATCGGATCAAGAGTTAAAAGCTCCTTGCCGTCAGACTGATCGCGGAAATCCACACAATTTTTAAGGCTAAATTTTGTAAGCAGGGTTTTAAAATTAAATTTAATGTAAAGTTTAAACAAGATATCTGCTCACCTGGAAAGTCATGAGAAATCGTGGAAAGTCATGAATTTCGGTATTGAACAAAATTTGTCATTCACAATTGAACTTTTACTCTTTTTTTAAATTTGAAATCTAATGAAGATGCAGAGTATAACAGTTTTGATTATATATCTATTTCAATTGATGTTATTATAATGCTTTAGTCATTAATTTGAAAATCTAAAATGTAGCAGATACCCTGTTTAAAAATGTATAAAATATTTGTTAAATCAAATGAGTTCAAAACTACTCATTTTCATACCACGCTAACAGCTATACAGTAAATTATATTTCATGAAATACAAAACCATCTAGATTAATGTTATTACCCGAGTTTTTAACTATTTTACAATTTCAAAAAGAATTAAAAACTAAATAGTAATATTCAATTTTTAAAGAAAAACTTAATATGCTTAAAGCTAAATTCATACTTGCACCATTATACAAAATCTGCATGCAAAATTTCAAGCAAGTCTAAAGTGAACTTTTGTCATGTGTGCTGGTGTAAAAATCTCCAAATCTATGTTCAGAAAATGCATTTAAATTTTAACAAAATTCTGAGAACAAACAATATTGCGAAAATTTCAGAAAATGACTTTTCTTAATAAATAAAGTTTATATAACATTTAATAAAATGAAACCTTAACCTTAATTTATTCAAATAAAAAGGTTAAATTTTCAAAGCTTAAACATTTAAGTTTCTTCAGGCCAAATTATTAGACGCACTTTTTAGATTCTATGTAAAATCTTAATTATCAGGTAATATTACAGATTTATTGTTTTTACTCAGCTCAAACCGATTTGTGTATCAATTGGTTAAATTAGACGATATAAAATCAGCAATTGATTAACTTAAAAGACATAAATATAGAATATTTATTTTATCACGTATTATATTGATACATTATAATAATTAGACCCACTGTAGTGTTTTAATAATTGCATGTTTTGCACGAGTTTATAGGCAATACTTTTATATTTAAACACATGTAATGGGTTTTAATTCAAGAGATTTTTTNGTTATTACCCGAGTTTTTAACTATTTTACAATTTCAAAAAGAATTAAAAACTAAATAGTAATATTCAATTTTTAAAGAAAAACTTAATATGCTTAAAGCTAAATTCACACTTGCACCATTATACAAAATCTGCATGCAAAATTTCAAGCAAATCTAAAGTAAACTTTTGTCATATGTGCTGGTGTAAAAATCTCCAAATTTATGTTCAGAAAATGCATTTAAATTTTAACAAAATTCTGAGAACAAACAATATTGCGAAAATTTCAGAAAAAGACTTTTCTTAATAAATAAAAGTTATGTAATATTTAATAAAATGAAAATTTAACCTTAATTTTGTGCATCTAATGATATTGCTAAAGACCGTACTTTAATTTTCATTTATCACCATGGAAAATTACTATCATTTCTAAAAATCGGAGATCAAAAATTTAAAGGGTTTTGAAAATCCAATGAACTAACGTTCAAACAAGGTTAAAAAAAATCTAAATTTTCGTCGAAATAACCTATTTTTTTAAACCTAGTCTAATACCTTAAATATTGACTTTTATTTATGGAATAGTTCAATGTGTAAAGTGTTTTATAATTTAATATATCATAAAATGTTAAACTAGAATAGATACATTAACACTAGATTGTCCAAGGAAGTCCTTTTGACTGCTTTTTAATTTCAATTAGAAAAAACAATGTATATAATGACACAATTTCTTATGATTTTGTGACTTTTTGTACAACATGCAATTTTTTTATTGTTAATATTTACTAATAACTTGTTCTATAACTGCAAATATAAAAAATATTGAAAATTTGAAACAAATTTCTTTCTATATTAGTTGTTTTTTTCACAAGGCAGTCATTTTGACTTCCTTTGGGCAATTTAGGTATTTACTAAGTTTCAGTCTTTCTAGTGTTAAATAGAATTTATTAAACAATTTCTTGATCAGATCAAAATAAATCTTAGCTTCCTTACCTATCTAAATCTGATAATGATAGCCGGCATTCTCCTGCACGGAATAGACTTTTAAAATAGCAATGAAGCAAATTTATGTAGTTGAGTATCAAGCATCTATTTCGAGGTACATTCTTGGTTCCTGCAAGAAAATAGGAAACATGTCATTAAAAATATAAAATTTGCTACATAGACAGTGGCGTTTATTTTTATACTTTTGCGTAATAGAATTTAAGTTGGCTGATGAAAGTTTTATACTTATGACTAATAAATCGATAATATTAGACCAGGATGCGTAGCCAAATCTTTAAAAAAATAAGCACCTTTTAAGGCACTCGAAATATTTTTAAGCATATACATAAACAAAATTCAAAATATTTTTCAAAGACTTTAGATGATCATAATAAAATTACTAGTAGATAAAATAACTGATTATATTAGCAGTTATAAAAAAATGGAGAGATTTTTCGGTTCGATATCAGAGGGTGGAAAATGAAGTCTGAACTGGAGAATATCTTGCAAAATGCAACAGAGTGGCTAATGAGAAGGCAATAATCTCACCGAACACAGTTCAGTAGACGCACATACGAACTCGCAAGTATTTCATCAAACATGTAAAATGATTGGCTCTTTCATACTATTGACAGATGGAACGCCGAAATGAATAGTGAAGAAGTTGAACAGAACAATGTGAAAAACATGCTTTTGCATAATACGTGGCGAAAATCGACATGGCAACGAAAAAAATCTCTTGTTTCAAAATTAAGCACTTTTTAAAAACACACAATGAAAAAAGCACGTTTAAGGGCTTTTTAAATAACGAAAACAAGCACCTTTAAGCCCTTTTTAAAAACGCTACGCACCATGTAGACTAATGCGACAATACTAGAGTTCGGTACTAAATATTCATGAGGTTAAATTAAAATCTCCAATTCTCAGAAGAATTGGAGTTATTAAAGACTTAAAAATTTTAATTTCACAGTTTTGGCAAATTTCTTTTCTAGTCTGAATGACATTTCAACTGTTTTCGAATTTTTAAAATATGTTTACTTTAGAAGTGACGAAAATTACTCGTTACAGAAAATCACCGAAGAGCCCATCCCGGTGGCAAAATTTTTTAGAGATGTCTGCGACAAAACTTCAGCACTAATATCTTACTGCAAGATACTTTTAAACATATGTTAAAAATTTAAAATAACAATGCTTTGTTTACAATATATATATATTTTAAATTGAACGTGCAATAATTTTTATTCTGTTACTAAGGGTGATATTCTCGCATGTTGTTGGGGGAGCAGAAATTATTTCCTTCTTCGCATATTGTAAATAATTATCACAATAAAGAAAATTATTAAAAATTGCGAAATCCGTAGTAGTGATAGCCGAAAAAGATAGACAACGAAATCACGAGAATCAGACTCCTCAAATGCGTGTTTAGTTTCGAGATTAGGTAGTAGTTAATTATATCCTNGGGGGAGCAGAAATTATTTCCTTCTTCGCATATTGTAAATTATCACAATAAAGAAAATTATTAAAAATTGCGAAATCCGTAGTAGTGATAGCCGAAAAAAGATAGACAACGAAATCACGAGAATCAGACTCCTCAAATGCGTGTTTAGTTTCGAGATTAGGTAGTAGTTAATTATATCCTGTAAAATAAATATCGAATTTAAAAGCTAGAGAAATCAATAGGAATAACCGCTAAAAATTCGATAAACTATCGCCTTAAGTAAATGCTCAAATGCGCGATTCGAATGTTCCCTATTGTTTGAAATATATCGGGATATCTAAAATCAGCGTGAAAGTCAACATCAATAACTGCCGAAAATAAAATCGAAACATTACAAGGATTTATGATGCAATCTGCGTAAATTAACAGAGTCAAAAAGTGATTATCTAAATTCATGGTTCAAATATCACGTGAAAATTTCTGCAGAAATGAAGTAAAATTATTTACTTTTCAAAGGAAAAATCTTTATGCAAGAACTCTAACCCTCTGCGACAATGTCGCCGTGTCGCGGCGATTCAGCCACGGAGTCCTACACAATTATAAATTTATGTTCGTAGCTAGCCATGATTGACCTACGAAGGAAATTTAAAGTAGGCAGCAAACTTCCCAACCTCCTTGTAGGAAGTTAGTTCATTCGTTTACATAGTTTAAAATCAAATAGATTATACATAAAATTAAAATAAGCCAACAATTCATGCAAAATATTTAGTATACACAACCAATAAATTTTATATAACAATTTAATTGTGTTTCATTACGAAATTATTTAACATATCTAAATAAAAGTAGCAAACAATTTACAGATTTTAATACCATAGTAGATTTCTTATCAAATGACAGTAGAACCTCCCTATAAAGAAATTCTTAACCTGAAAATTTCCAAGCTAAATTTTCGATTAAACCAAATTTTCCATCCTTTAATTTTCATAGGTTTTTAAGAAAGTTATTACGGTTAAAATTTCCCTGCAAACCAGTTAGTCACCATTATTCATCGCAAGAATTATGAGCAAAATCTGCAGACAAAATAACATTTTAAGGGAGAAATTATTTCACAATAGTTGAGTATTGATTTACTTTAGATTCGACAAAAAAAAATTCATTTGCCTTGATCGCACTGGCTAAAGGTTGAAACATTTGCTTAACTACATGCAAACTAATAAACGGCATTACGAAATTTTACTTTCCTGGTCTAAGGAAGGAGCAGGAAAGGAGACGAAAGATCCTAGATACATATATGGTGTTGCAAAACCGAATAAAAATGAATCGGACTTGTAAACCTATAGTTTGTCTACGGTAAGAACAACCCCCAACGTAAGAACTAATATAAGTAACTTTTAAAAATTAAATCGTAATTTCATTCATCTCAAATATTTTAAAACTTGTATCGTTTTGTATTTTAGAAGTAGTTTTTACTTAACCTACTAACCTCGTTATCATAGTTACCGCCACGGGTCCAGACAAATGGCTAGGGTAGTTCTTGATTTAGACAAACTATAGCTTAATCGCGAAAAATAAATATAGAAGACATTGATTTTGTTAAATCAAAATTGAAAGTTTCAGCAACCCAAATATTTAAAAAATGTCTTAAACTAATCTCTATTAAAATATTAATCTTGAATATACAAGACTTTAGAACTGAGTAGGAATTCTGTTAAGTTTGAAACAGTCACAAAACTTTATAAATCAAATCAATATAGGAGAAGGAATAAAAAAGGACAGAGTTTCAAAAAACTATTATATATATTATTTAAAGCATACGCAATGTATAGTATTCAGAAACTTATAATTACGTTAAATCCTGTTAAAAATATATTTAAAAAAAAAGAATTTAAAATTTTAAAACTATTGTTTCATAAAACTCTCGTTTTACTGTTTTTAATAAACATTTAATCACAATATTTTAAGTCAATATCTCATCAAAAAATTCGAAAAAAAAAAAACGTTTAAATTTCACTAGAGAGCAAGTTAATAAAAGAGGTATATTAATCATTTTAACAAAATTCCGAATTTCGGAGAATCACAAGCATACCATCAATTATCACGTATGTAAAAGTAGTGAAGAATAGAAAGA